CCAGGTACAGTACTGTGTTTTGGGAGCATTAAACTGTACAATATTGTTGTGTTCTCAAGAGGTGATAACCTCCAGGTCGTCAGAGAGGAACTTGTCGCTAGTCTTCTTTCTTCCAGCTCAGCAATAGAAATCATCTTGTTACTCTGAATTCCTGCATGTAGAGTGCTGTCATCAGCGAAGTTATGGATTGGGGCAGGAAAAGAGGTCGCTAATATGTAAGAGGAACAGTGTCGGAGCCGCAAACGATCCCTGGGGAACACGCGCGTTGACGTTGTGGGATGAAGACGAGAACCCGTTCATTACGACTGATATCTTGCAGCCAGAGAGAAAGTCAGCCACCCATCCGCAAAGCATTTCTGTGAGGCCATAGGATGGAAGTTTGCACAAGAGGGCAGCATGCCACAGCTGATCGAACGCTTTCGTAATATCAAGAGCAACGACATGAGCCTCGCCATAAGACTGGACGAGTCTATCCCACAACTGCCTGACATAAGCTAGGAGGTCCCTTCTGGATCGCTGGTGCTGGAAACCATACTGCCTATCGCTAATCAAGCCGTGACGTTCGAGGTAGTTCAGAACCTCGCCATTTATGCACCTCTCCATCACCTTACTTATAAAAGTCTAATCATATTAGTCGAAAATACCCCTGGTATGCGAAATAATTGTAAAGTCTGGTTTTATTGCTGTAAGTTGTTCAAGGGGTTATTCAGAACATGGACTCATAAAATGGATACACCAATTTTTGTGGGAAAACTTTTTATGCGACAACAAAAAATGAGAAAAAGTGTTTTTTGGGATTCAATCGAAAGCGTTGACAGGAACGAAAAAACTCTTCATATAAGATTTTCAGGTATTTATGAGACCTACAAAATGAGCACACACGTAAAAAGATCAGAATAATAGCAAAAAGGTTAAGGCCGAAAACCGAGGCAAACTGCAGGTTTTGCCACTTGTTAAAGTGATGATGATTTCTCGCAGATATTTGAAATTCTTCAAATTTGTAGGATTCGTACTTCTAAATAACCAAACCGAAATAGGAGTAGATTGGTCAAGTAGTTTTTGAGAATGTCTAATTGCTTATCCCAAAACACCTGTTGTTGTTAATCCCGCAGATGTTCGTGACACAAATTTTATCTTCGATGTTGTTCCCTCGAGTCCACCCTCCACCCGGACATTCCGAGAGTAGAGTGAGGTTACGTCCGGAATTCTCAGTACTCGAGGGATCCATCATCATTAATTTTTTTGTTGGGGGAGATAACCGACTGCGTAGTTCAGGTGTGGAAACATGCGGACATTTATAAGACACTCTGGGAAACGTTAGCGGGTCATCTGGTTCTTCTCTACCACCTTCTTTTTGCGTATTAATGATGTTAAATAGAACTAAAGTGGCCCGTTAGCGGAGTTGTACCGCCACCCGGCGATCGGTACTGGGGTATTCTTTAACGCGTGTACAATCACTTGAACGGGAAGAAGTTTTATACTGGATACAACAACTTCCGGAACAAGCATTTGCCACGACCCCGCTCACTAGGGTAGTGTGTTTTTACCCTAGAAATAAAGGCACGTCTTTCTGAAACGTCCTGTAAGGAATCTGATATAAGAACTGATACATACATTTTCTACCTAATTATTCAAAATTAGTATAAAAGGCTACATATATTTGGACTGAGAAAAAAGCGATCATTGTACTAAAGATATACAGAGCCTTCCATTTAAGACATACTTTATCGATAGCAAAATTTATATTGGACCCTACAAACTTTGTTACTCATAATAACTTCTTTTTCCTAAAAGGTCATACAATGAAATTAAGAGGTGGTCAGTTTATAGCAGGGCAGTCCGTACTTCCCTTACTTTAATTCCGTAAGAAGTATAAGTGAATGTTTCCAAACTAATCTATGTGTAAACTACTTCCTTCTAGATCTATCAAAAAAGCAACAGATAGGCAACCTGAAGCTCCTTATGCAAAATAACAAGACGTATTTTTCTAAAGAATATGCAGCAACTAAAACAGTGGAAACGTTCAGCAAGGCCCAGCGGTGCAGAGCTTTTATACTGGAATAGCCTTGATAGTCCGCAAAGTTTAATCATCAAACTATCAAATCCAGCTGCAAGTGAAAAATGCTGTCTAACTGATAAAGTGGCAAATGGCTATTGCTATTCAGCATTAAAGCTCTGCACCGCTGCACCGCTTTTGTTGGCTGAACGGACCCATTGATTTGATTAACTTCCTGGACTTGTATTCATTACTTTATAAATACTATCCTACGAATTGACATTTAGGATGTTAACACTAAGTAATCTGATGGTTGGAGAGATGGCCATTAGCAAAATGAGTTACACAGGTATTCACATAAAGCGACTGCTGTAAAAAGTAATTGTATTTTACAATCATTTTAGCCTTGCTGATTTTAAATAAGTTGTACTATCAAACATAATTTATACAGGATAATCACAAGTCATAACCAACAATAAATATCATACACAGGACCGTAGTTTAAGAGGTGTCTTCAATGTAACATTTTTCACTCGACGGCTTCATTAAAAAGATAGGTGTTGAAGTATAAAAATAAAAAACATTTTTTAATATCTTCAAAACCGTCAACTGGTATGAATTAAAATTTGGTATGTGGATTTACCAATGTATTGTCCACATTCAGAAGTCTTCACTTAAAACTAACGTGCACCAGTGCCGGAGATTCAAGAGATTACTGGCATTATTTTTCCAAGTAAAAATAATACGTAATTGTTTTAACCATGCGGTTATGTCACGACGAACACGCGCTGGGGCACCGTCGCGTGGTGCTTATACCACATTCGTACTCTCATTGCTAACGGAACATCATCTAACACATTTTCTATGTAATTCTCTAGAAAAGCTAAGTATGAGTTTGCATTTAAACGTTGTGGCAATACGTGCATAAGCAGTTGGCCATTGAAAATCCCACACCAGACATTTCTAGAAAATATGTGTTGAAACGAGTGGATTCTTTAGCAGAACGGGGATTTTCTAACAACCAAATATGTTCATTATGAGAATTAATGGTTCCACTCCTCGTAAAAAGCGATTCATCGGACCACAAAACCAAATCAATGAAATCTGCATTTTGATTATGCATTTGCAGTAACGATTCACACAAAGTTTTCCGTTGCACTTCCTCGCCGGGCTGCATTGCACATTTTGCCGATGGTAAGGATGTAAAGCTTCCGATTTAAAATTCTCCACACAAGACTTTGGGAACATTGTAACTGGGCTGCAATCCGTCTAGTATTTGTACTAAGATCATTCAACGCCAAACAGTTCTTCTTCAACAGTTTGCCGGACACCATGGCCTCTAACTCCGCGAAGTTTAGCAATTTCATTTTGCCGGAGTCTTAGAAATCCACACGTAAGAAATTTTGGGGTAGGTTGGCGTCTATTACGAGATCTACGCTGATACTCCCGAGAAGCCGCTAAAGCATTTCCATTACAGAATCCGTACACAAAAATAATATCGGTGTACTCATCATTACTAAACTCCATTTCACAACACCCAAAACTGGAAAAAAGAAACTTTAGACTTGACTTAAAAAAAAATATAGAAGTAACGCTAACAACCGTATAATACATAGCTTTGACAAACTATCTCCCAAGAAACGTCAAGTTGGTATCAATGACTCCTATTTTATTTTGAAACTAACTTTATCTCGGTAAGAATGATCTAATTTGTTTTATTCTCATTTTTACGAAAACAGTGCACTCTAGGAAAAAAACACAAGAGTAATTATTTGTAGCACATTGAAGATGAAATTCAAAAAATTGCGCATTTTGAAAAAACAGTGGCGTACTATTTTGATTTGAAAAAATAATGCCACTAATCCTCTGTATCTCCGACACTGAGGCACGTTAATCTTAAGTCAAGACTTTTAAATGCGGACAATACTCAGGTAAATCCACATAACAAATTTTAGGTCATTCCAGTTGACGGTTTTAAAGATATTAAAAAAAATGTTTTTTAATTGTAACATTCAACATCCCGATCTATTTAATGAAGCCCTCTAGGTGAAAATGTTACATAGAAGACCCGCCTTAAAATGCGGTACTGTGTGTGATGTTTTATTTTTGCTCACGACTTGTGAATCACCCTGTATAATATACGAATACATAGAAAGAAGTGTGGCATAACCAGAAGCGGAGGGTACATAACACCCCCCCGCTCCTCCTCCCGGCTGTTTGAATCAAGATCAAACAGGCTTCTGGCTCTTCAATTATCACAAAAGTTGTTCAAGGCATTTCATTTCAGAAGCAGTAATTTAGCCTCTTCAATTACTATAGAGGACCAAGGCAAGATCTGCTCTTTCAAGTCGACAAAATCATAGTTTTTCAAGTAGATACGTCTTAGTTATTATACTTTAAGGCACAGGTTCCACGAAAAGCAACCATATGATGGCTCGACTTCAACCCAATTTCGACTTACGTTGCGTTGCTTTTGCGTTCTCACCGAAAGTCATTGCTAAGCAACTGTCTCCTTTTGAGGTTGTACATAAACTCTTTAATTAAGTACCTACTATGAGTGAGAAAACGGAATATAAATAAACTATTATGATTATTGGGAATTTTTCTCTTGGGATGGGAATCCAACCCGCGCAGTGCATGGCGACTGATTAGGAGACCCATAACGTCTATCTCTACGCCACCGTTGCTACCAAACCAAAAGGACTAAAAATACATAACTTGTACCCAAATATATTTCTTAAATGCAGTGAAGGATTACTCTTATCAGTATATCGATAATTTCTTGAGCACACGACCTGAACACTAGCTGGGGTGTCGTTATGGCATCTTTCAAATAATAAGAAGAAAAAGACGGACTAGCGACGACAGTGGCAGGAACCATTTGGAAAGCATGTTCCGGGTCGCGTGTTGGTCTGGTTGCAATTGCCAATTGCTTTCGGTGAGAATGGACGTGATGTGCTTTTTGTAGCTTTCCATATAATATGTATAAAGATACTATACGTACCCATACCGCTATGCGCCGTAGAAGTGTTCATTCCCGAGTTTTTCAGTATTTCTATAAGCTCGAAGCGGAACGCAGATATGTCCTGCTTGATCTCGTTCACATCGTCTTCAGTGACACCTTGGTTTTCGGCTTTACGCTGTTCCACTGTCACGTATCTTCGCACTAAATTGCGCATTATACCCTGCCGAGATAAAACGTTTAGTCATCTGAACAAGTCAAAAATTTACCACTTATAACAGATATATTGTCAAAATACCATAAATTGTACTGAAGTAATCAATGGACGTACGTCGATGATAAAATCACGAGTCAGAAACATAATGACAACAAATTTATGATTTTGCGAAGTTAGGTTATTTCACTGATTATTTTTATTTTCATTTTATTTCATAGTTTTGAGTGATACCTTAATAATAATTTTAGTGAGGAATTTTTGTTTTCAAGAAAAAAAACAGTTATAAGTAGAATACCTTAAGACACAATTACCAGAGACCTAAGTATTATTCGAAAACAGCATAACCTGCTTCAACATAACCTAACTGTTCATCTTTCAAATATGATCGATCATGCAACATGAAAACATCGTCTATCTTTGTCGGATACATGCAAATTAGCAATAGAGTTTGTTTGGACAATAAAATTCTGCTTGTTTCAGTCTAACATATCAGAAACTTCATTAAATATATTCACAAATCGCTGTCGTTTGTCTTTACTATAGACTAAAATGACGTGATCGTCATCTTTCGTGATTTCGACTATATGTTTGTCTTTATTATTTCCGTAGTATCATATATGGAACCCCAAGTGAATATCGAATGCGATAGTTGCTATTCCATGCACCAGCTGTAACTAAAAATTGACATATCTTATATCGTTATGCCTGTATAGAACTTTATACAGTTTCTATCGACTGAAATGTATGCCGCATCACACGCCATGGATTTCGGTGCTAACGCTCTGTACGTTGAAATCTGCGCACACTTAAGTCACACCTCATTAACAGTGGCGAACGTGGAGTCACACTACTCTTCCATTTTTGTGCTTAACTATATCAAGTCTCAGCTCTGGCACATTAAATTTCAGGTTCATACATGCATTCCAAGTATGACAGTCTTTTTTGAGCGCATCTCAACTGAGTTTGTTCGACTTTAGTTGAAAGGTCTTATTTGTCCTACAGAAGTAACACTCAAAGGTGATATGAAAGTTATTCCATAACAATACCGACACATCTGCCTGTCTGGCAAGGTGTCTCAACGAAAATGGAAAGTTTTATGTTTTCGTGGCAATCTTGATTTGTTACTAGTGCATATTTTAGAATTATTTTGGTATATACAAGCGCTGCCTCAGTGAATTTGGCCCAACTATCAAAACTACGTTTTTTATGAAATTTGTCATAGTGGAAATGTATTAAAAACTAAAATGTATTTCTGATAACATACGATATTTTTAATTAATATTAGCCCAAATTACTACATTTTTTGTAATAAAGAATAATTATCTTACAAATTCAAAAAAACTGCCGATTAATAAAAATCAACGAAACCAAATCGCAGCAAACCACAACTGCGTTACATCGCCTATTCGACTGATTACTGCTTCGACACGTCTTGATATAGTGTCAAATAATGTTTGGCAGTGATCTGATGTTAAACTGTTCCAAATTTCTTGGAGACGGGTTCGCAATTCTGAAAAGCTTCTTGCGGGATTCGATCAGAGCATTCTCTTCATGATATGCCACAAGGTTTCAATCCGCGATAGATCCCGACTACTCGACGTCGATTTTAAAACTGAAATATTGTTTTCTATCATCCAATCTTTTACTTTTTAGCCATATGGCAAGCAGCACTGAATTGTTGGAATATACACTCAATATAGCTTAAACACATTTGTTCAATTTGGGATATTAAGTTATTTTGAAGCACATTCATGTACTTATCAGCATTCATAACACCTTCCACAAAGTGTAAGTTTCCGACTCCACTTGCTGACATCGATCCCAAAATCATAGCAGGAGCAGGAAACTTGATTTTTTTTAAGACATTCTGAAACACTTCTTTTGTTCTTATGACACGACTCCTACTATCACCAACGCATACTTCAAATCTGGCTTCATCACTCCAAATAATGGAGTTCCGTTGGTTCGAAGACCATAATTTGTGTTCTTTGCCGCTTGTCTGTTTTTCTTCTAAATTTTTGTCAGTAAAAAGTATTTTAAGCCTACTTTGTAAGTTTCAAATCCCAGTTTTTCATCAGCTCAGTGACAGGTTGCTCTTGAAAACTTTTTTGTGGTTGCCTGATGCCATAATATTTTCAATTCGTTATAATTAGCACGCCTATTCTCCTTGATAATCCGCTTTGAGGCTCTTAAGGTATTGGAATAACGCGGGCGACTTACAGTTCCGGGTTTTTGAGAAACAGATCCCATTGTTTTGTACAAGTTAATAATATTTCGAATTGTATATCTCGATTTGTTAACAATGATAGTGATATGGGAAGCATTTTGGACTTATAAATGCAAGTGAATTATCAATTTTCTTATTTCGCCAGAAACACCTTTACCACGAGCCATTTTCAAGTGTTAAAAACAACACCAATGCGTTGAAAGTTCAGTTAAACCTCAAAAATCAGCTCCTTAGTAACATAATATGTTATCACTTGTTTTACAAAGCTTACCTTTATTTTATCGAAGTGAATAAACAGACCATTCAAGTTGTATTTTGCTATACACAAATCATTTTGCGAAGAGGACAATTTCGGTTTTTTCATTTTCCATAAACATTTAAAAAACCAAAATATTATATTTAATTAGCCCTCAAATAAATTCACAATTACCTTGTTTTGGGGCATTGGGCCAACTTCACTGAGACAGGGCTCGTATACAGGATGCTCCGTAACCTCGTGCCATAGCAAACATGTATTTTTTCAAATAGAATACCCTATAATTTATTACATATGTATTTAGATAGAGCTTCTAAAAACAAGAAACTTGATATCATATAACATATGGTATCGATTGTCAACTGGTTACATAACATACTTAGCGAAATGTCTAAAAAAATGCACAACTTTGACCGCCCGCAGCTCTGCCATTTTTGAACATACATATTTCCATTAATTTTAGTCAACAACAATTTTATTATGGTTGATTTTAAGCTGATCTTAAAGAAATGCTAAAATATGTTTCTACTCATACGCAAAATGTTAATTTCCTCGTACATTTCAAATGGAATACCCGGTATATTTCTACATCATTAAAGAGCTTTCCTTGGAAAACATTTTTGATACCAGGATTATGCCACTTTTTTCAAACATTTTTTGAATTATTGCTATTAATTAGAAGAAAAATATATTCCTCATTCAGACTTAAAATCAGATCTTCCATTAAAACAATGTTTTTTTTCACACAACAAGAGTCATCTTAAACCTAGACAGTAATTTATTATGAAATTGATGCGAAACGTTCAAGATAGTTCTGTTCATTTCCAGGACCAGTATTTTTTATTACCACGTTGTTTCAGCAGCTTGCGAATCACGATTTCCGATTGTGCTTAACCAGAAGGTCCATATATCCGGATCTCAGAACCGTATCTAGACGGTGGTGCCTTAATAGTTGCACAGGGAGAGGCGGACCGCTCAATTGGCCAGCGAGATCACCAGATCTGTCGCCTCTCGACTTCTTTCTGGAGCCAAGTACAAGGAGAGGTTTACCAGTAGAAACCTACAACACCCGGTGACATGAAACATCGTGTAAGCGAATATATTCGAACAAATCATTAACGATTGCCTTAGGCTGATATTATTTTAGTTGTGTCAATAAAAGCTATTGTTCTGAGAGAATATTTGATTTCATGTTTAAATACAAGTATTTGTTTTTTCTTGAAATTATCAAAATATCAAAAAGAAGATCATTAAAATAATATTTAACTATGTGAAAATATACAGGGTGTTCCATTTGGCGTTTTTAAGAAAAGGTACACTTTGCGTTTTTGAGATATCCTATGTACAAATAGAAAAAAAATTGCACTTTTTTCAGATCACCTAAAAATTGATGCTAATAAGATTTTTGTGAAGGTTTATCTTAATATCTTCAAAAATGGTGGAGCTGCGGGCCGTCAAAGCTGTGCAGATATAAACAATTGGAAATCGGAACCATATATTATATGATATCAAACTTCTTGTTTTTAGAAGCTCTTTCCAAATAAGCAAAAAATATAGGGTGTTCAATTTCAAAATATACATATTTGCTAGGGCACGAAGTTATGGAACACCCTGTATATATTAAAATAATTGTAAAATATGCACTAGTAACATATCAAGGTTGCCACGAAAACAGGTTTTTCAAGATCTTTGTAGTTTGCTCATAAAACTACGTTCCATTTTCGTTAGGATACCCTGTATAGCACAGACATTTTTCAGAAAGGTTCTCTCCGCATATTTACCAGTTGATAGAGGGGTCACCCTGTGATTTCTTTTAGAAGCTACACATAGGAAAATAAGAATTCACTGCGGGTGTAACGATATAACTTGCAGTGATAAGTCAAATAGACTGCAGAAAGAGGCTAAACATGCTTTGGTTTCGTCCGTCTGACCAAAGATTGCCTGTAGCCAACCTTTACCGGTTCTTTTGTATTGCTTGGGTACTCATCTGCGTGGCCTAGGTTGGGTCTCTCAGACAACGACCGAAAGCATAGTAACTATAAGTTATCAAAATTGTGAGGTCTATTGAAGTAATGCAGTGCAACGACTAGAATCGACTAGAATCGACTAGAGACTGTAGAAACTTGAACATCAAAGCTGTATTTACCTGATACCGGAAGTCTCTCTCGCTCGCCTGCTTCACCTTCCTCTGAAATTGAAGAGGAAAAATATTAATTCGCTTCAGCGAAACAACCTTCTGTCGGCAATAACAGTTGTCCGGAATACCGAAAATTCATTAGCTTACTGACAGGGGGACGGACTCGCAACGATCTAATAAGGACTACTCATACAGCAGCAATCAAACTAACTAAAGAAACCGCCAGGATTTGAAACCCATGTTTTCGGTTGCACAGTACCTATCACGAACCCAGACAGCAAAACTCCCTGGTATTAAAATCTAAGATATTTTATCTATTAACAAAACATGTTACAAATGCATCTAGATTAACATTCATGTGTTTAAATATTTCATACAATTTAAACTTTGGCGATGTCTTTAATAAATTATTTAATTGTTGTTTACGTTCCGTGACTTGATTTCCTAACCAGATCTAGAATACAAAAATTCAAAATAACTGTTGTAGGTCTGTTTATGGCCTGCAAAAGCTTAGCTATGTATTTCAAAAGATCAGTGAGTTGATACGATTAAACGTAGACTAGCCCCTTTCATATCATCTGCTAATCTTTGTCCAAAGAATCAGGTACAATAGGGGATCGACTTATCTTCTAAAAAAGTTTGTACCACGTGGCATAACTCCGGCTTCAACATACTTAGTTATCAAAACGAATATTTTCCATCGTACTTAACCTACAATGTTGTAAAAACGTATAAT